CATCTACATCGTTAAAGAGAACAATATGCGGCCACGTGTAGTAGTCCGCGAGCTGAAGCCAATAGAATTCGGCTTCCCATGACTCCCAACTGTACGGAGTTCCATTTTCGAAGTCATTGGGACCGTATCTATGGATGGAGTTCGGTACACCAGGCCTTTCTCTGATTGCTCTCTGCCGACTCACATCGCAATGGTTCCCGCGATCATGGACTAGTCTCTGTACGTTTCTCATGAAGTGAAGACTTGGCATGAATAATGGGATACCCAATGAATACACTTCTGTAATCTTGTATGACATCACGGCATATGGCCAATACACTAGAGCTGGATGCTGCACCAAATTCTCCATTTTGTAAAATCTTTTGTATAGCTTCTTCGTCCCGACCACACGAATTCCGTGTTCTCTGGCGGTTTCAGTGAAGTTCGACCAAAGATTTGGACGGAGGGTGTATTCTGCGAAGGAAATAATTTCGGGCTTCTCGGGCTTGTATTTATACTGTTCAGTATAGAAACCACTGTAACTGAAGAGAGGAATCACATTTGTCATTCCCGTGTAATGCTTCAGGTACTCCATGTCGTAAACACTACTAGCAGCTAGAACATGATGAGGATTCTTGCTAGCCTCCATTATCCTTAGGTGCTTGTCGAGTAGATCCCACTGTCCATGCTGATAACATCTTCCGGCCGAATATCGCGTAGCTGGCAAGAAAAGGATGCTCTTATTAAATGGGAGCCAGAGCTCGCAAAAAGCAGCAGGAAACATGCAGACAAATACGTCCACTGATGCCACCACAGGGTCATTTTTATAAAACTCGAAATGCTCCCTTGCGTCCGCATTACTGTGGTATCCTTTTTTATCCGGATACCACCATTTTCCTACCGTCCTGGAGATCCCGTGGTAAATAGTCGCATTTGGATGTTCTTTCACACCAGGGTTGGGAAATCTTCCAGCATTTCCTTCAAATATCACATGATGGCCCATTCGTAATAGAGCAGAAGGAATGTCCATTCTCGTTCCTACGTGCCACCCTGAAAACCAAACATTGAAAATCTTCTTTGGAGAACATGCTTTGACATCATCAGTAAAATAATTTTTTATTCCATGGTCGCTCTTTTCAATCGAGTTCACTTTATTTAAATTATATTTCACCTCTGGGAATTCATAACCGATCTCGTGAAGGGCCAGAAGCCATTCCTGCAGCAAATATACATCCTCAATGTTGATGTAGTCCCTTTCGTATGCTTCAATCCACAACTCTTCCATTCTAACGACGAGATCTTTTGCTTCACTTTCCCAGGCATTTAAGAACTTAATCAAATTTTCCGTCTTCTCATACAAATCTTGCTCTGCTTTTAAATCTCCAATGAGAGAATGGGAACTCCGATCATGAACAACGAGTGGACGTGCAAAGAATCCAAGATGCAATCCGACATCCCTGAACAACCTTTGTGCTAAATAACTTCTCCAAATGTCGGAGACCCTTCCAGAGACAGTGACTGGGAGAAGCAGCGCCCAGAATGCAGGATAATTGTGGAGAGTGGCTTGTGCATTGTAGGGAGTGAACATGCCATCTGGAGTTACCACTGGCCTTGTCTTGTTAGTCATTTTGAAAGATATAAGTATTCTATGAGAGATGCGAAATATTGCATCTAGATCTGGCTGCACGTCGGCCACCGATTGAATCACCCCTAATCGTCCCCAGGTAATATTTCCTGTTTCACTCCTCAGATCATGCGAAGAATCTCGATGAACCTCACTCAGTGGCATCCCCCGTGGCCAGCAGGGCAAATATTCGATTCCCAGATGAGCATACGGGTTCCAAGCAGTCTTTGAAGTCATGTTCGCTCCTTTCTGGAAATCTACAGAAATAACTGATTCCTCAGTGAGATTCATGTATGGATCGAGGGAAGGCGCAGTAGAATCAGCTGCTCCGTCCACCCAAAATTTTAGCATATTGTCATCGTCGAAGTCCCAGATTGTCTTTGCACCATGTTTCAATGCAAACAGGTATCCTACGTTTTTCCTTCCAAAACTGTTCCATGGTATGTGTTGCATGATCGATCCCCCCATGTTCTCTTGATCTTCTGGGCTCAGGTAAACAACAGCGATATCCCCCGTTATAGTCCAAGGTATCAAGAAAGATGTTGTGGATTTCTTATCGCCTGCCACGACGATGCACCACTTCCTTGTGAGAAGGATCCTTCTCAAAGCCTCGGAAGGCTCATTTATTGTGGTGAGGACAGCCCAAAGCTCGCATGAAGGGTCCAACGCTCTTGACTTGCTCCTTGGTTTTGATGCGTAAAATTTCCGGTTTAAAAATCTTTGTTCTTCCGGAAATACTCTTAACTTTTCACCGCTGAATATATTTGCCGATGCTCCGCTGTAAACATTTGACTGCCTCACTGCCTCTTGGGAAGGGTTTACTGACTCCAGCCAATATGGACGTCTTGATGCTTTTAGAAATGCATGTATATCCCCATGAGGAAATGCGATAGCTAGGAGAAGCATTGACAACATTCCAAAGATAAGCAAGTGTTTCCAGTGCCTATAAAAAATGAAGTTCACCTATTGGTTAGAGAAAGCGTAAATTAATGGCATGAAATCCTCTCCCAAAGTCCCGTTACGCACCTGATCAATTGCTGTATTCTTGACATAGTTTGAGCACAGAATCGGATGGTCCTTTTCAATTAACAGGATGAAGGAAGTTGACTCCGTTGTGCGAAGCGTACATCATCCAAGGGGAGCAGTAAAGACTTTTCAACCAGCTCTGAAAATTCAAAAGACATCATCATTGAAGTCCTTACAATAATTACTCTTTCAGCACATTCTTCGTCAAAATGCAACGACAGAAGTACTTAAACATTTTCTTTAGATTCGTCTTTGTCGCATTCGTGTTTGCGTCTACGAAGTTTACTCGGTTGACTCGAGTAGCTGTTATTTGAATGCGTTTTCAGCAGTTCCAGACAACACGACCCAATGAGCACGCGTATGTTTCCGCCTGGATTGGGGTGCTCGTCTTCCACGAAAACATCCACTTCCCTTTCAGCCCTGGCAGTTGACGGTTCCATACCAGATAATGGAAGAGAGCATTGGCCCCCCGACCGTGTAGACATAGTTGCTAGTCGTACGCGTGAAATGCCATTTCAGGCATCCTACACTTGATACTTTCCTCCCCCGTGGGCGCGCGGACCATCGAGAACGTGTCTAGTTGTGCAGGCTTTTCATTTAGGCCCATGCCGTGCTAAAGACGGCTATTATTTATCTAAGAGTTTGATCGTTAGGATGCGTTAGGATGCTATGTCGTCAACGTCGATGAAGCTATAATTATAGTAAATGCTCTTGGAAAGGTTAGAAAGAGGACTGTCGTTCCAAAGGCCGACGCAAAAAGACTTACGGACAGCCATCGATACTTACCCGGTGGAGGCCCATTCAGGGCTGTAGCCAACTGCCGCCCCTTGAGCTAATGCAATGCCACGCTAACACTCACCCGCCCACTCCAGTGACTTCTCGAGTGAAAAACTAATCTCATTTCTCTCTTTGGATGAAGGTACGGGGAAGATAAGACGACGAATCGCATTTTCAAGTACCGAAAAAGACTATTCTATCTGCCTGCGTTATTCGTTCCTGGCAGATATGCGGATATGGGAAGAACGTCCGTGTGATTCCAGCCAGGGCCTCAACGGTCTTCGATTTTCTTTTAAAAAAATGTATGTGGTCCATTCAAATGATTAAATATGGTACCTCATTTACCTCTGAATCTGCAATCATTTTGGACTAAAATAATTCCATTTGGAGGTCACATGGAGGTTCAAGTTTCGAAGGTTTCCATGATGAAAGTATAGCCTAAACTCGAGTTTACCAAGTGACTTCCACTTCAAATAATTATTTTCCTAGTCAATAATCATGACGTGTTCGAACTGAAAGCGAAATGAAGGGGAGGAGGGAGGGGGAAGGAGGGAACTCGCGACGAGTTGGCAGGGCGATCGGCGGAAATTCCTGCCAAATGCTACGCCGGACATGATATGGACACAGCACTGGATCTGTTGCAATGAGGCGAATCGGTTTTAGCAGTATGCAGCCGATAGCGGATCGGAGTGGCATGCAATATCAGAGAGGACTCCGTGGCGTAAGTCCGGTTAAATAGTTGCTACAAAGAAGGGAGCCGATCTCGCATTGCCGAAAAGTCGGCAAGAATTTTGGAGGACGGAGCGCCTTTCACTTTTCATCATCTTCCATCGGTACTTTATCGTCGATCGATGCAAGAATGACCGAATAAAACGTCACGAAAGTACACTAATCATATGTGATTGAGTCATGGGTGACTTCCGCGCTCGTGACGATTTTTTTAAAGTGTAATTCCGGTGACTCGCGCGAAGCAGTCATCGGAACGGAGTTCCGCTTTTCCCTGATTCCCGGAAAAAGCCTGTCGGCCCGGAAGGACAGCGGAAGGACAGCAGAAACGGACGCACGTCGGTCTGCATGGAATTCCCTCAGCGGCTGCCACGGATTCCCGAGACGCTCGGAGATCCGATCCCCGTTTGGAAATCGGTTCCGACAGGCCATGGCACGTTCCGATCGGCTCGGTCGGAGAACATTCTTTTCCAAGTGGAAGCCAGCGGCTTTCCGGTTTATTCCTGCGGAACATTGCCAAATGAATTCCGCGGGTAGAGGCGTTTGCATCCATGCGTTTTTCTGGCCGTTAGAGACGGCTCAAGCGTCTTCAAATAATGCTTGGCTTCTACGCTGAATGCATTTCGTTTTTTGGGTTTACCATACAGCCAACATAAGGGACCGAATTCCTCGACGGAAGTTAGCCGTTCCCCTTCCCCTACTTTCTTCTTTTCTCCCCTAAAAGTGAGAACGGCCACCAACTTGATTCCATCTATTAATATCTGGAACCCATCTCGATTCTGGCGCATTATATAATACCGGTCGTTTTATAGCAACGTTGTTACATAATCATCCCTCCATCCCCTATAAATGTCTCCTGCCCTCCCCAATGTCATCCAGTCCGTGGGGAATCGTCAGCATGAGGGCATTCGTAGTGATTGCTCGTCTTGTGGGCTTGGTCGGCCTCGTGGGGTCTGGAGCCACCTTTTCCAGGCAAGCCTCAAGGAAGGGGTGCCCTGAGGTCACCACGAAGCCCGACTTTGTGGTCCCGCCCGTGAGTCCATCAAAATTCTCTCCTTAATTTTATTTATTTTTATTTTTTTATATTCATATTTATTTATTCAATATTTAAATGTCTTATTGCGGTAATTTATTTTCCCATAATATTTACCTTCTTGTTTCAATTTTTTGTCGCTGTGCATATTAAAATTTACTTTCTCGATACTTCTTTCCAAGTTGGAATTCAACTGATTTTTGTAATCCTTTTCGTACAGTACCTGGGCGACTGGTACGATATCCAAAGCTTCCCCAGCTTCTTCCAAACCGGACTCAGCTGCGTCCGGGCCAGATACGGCTCTATCGGTGAGAGGATTTCACTCGTAATTTCATAGAAATTAACAACGAGAAACTCGAGTCGGCCAGGGTCGACTGCGACTGTCGACTCACTGGCGACAGTGCCATGAATCCCTCCACACAAAAATTCGCATTCCTTGTTTATGTCCGCTTTGATTAACTCCAAGCCGTTGAAGTGTTTCGAAATTTCCTGCAGAATATGGGCAAGCCCGCGATTTCCAGTCAGCGGAGCATCTTATACATTTAAACAAAGTTGTTCTGCCTTACCTTCACGACATTGCCGCCAGGAGACGGCAAACCCGGAATGCGCGCGTCTCGGCGAGTTTTCTCCTTTTCTTGATGAACGCGAAAGGGAGTTCCAAGGCATCCACGAATGCCAGACTGTGGTCTGGCATCCGTGCAAAAAGGAGGCATGCTCCTCATTCTTCGATGCAACGCGCGTGGAATCCCAAGGTGAAAGGGATTCACTTCCCGAGGTCTCACACGTTACGCAACGCGCTGTCACCGGCCACAGCGCCAGCAGGCGACACCCGCCGTGCGTGACGTCACGCCCGTCGTCCGCTCTCCCCTGACTCACCCCCTTCCTTTGCAGAGAATGGCAACGCAGTTTCGGTCTACAACGTGGGCATGAGGAATAATGGGTCACTGGATGAGATCCGCGGTCGGGCTTATCAACCGGATCCTAACAACGAGCCCGGCCGGCTCCGAGTCGATTTCCCTGGCTGTGAGTCTTTCTTTGTGGTCCGAAGCCGGTCTATCTAGCCGGTCTCGTTCTTGGGTTTCCAATTACTGACTTATATTATTCGGGGGATCTTATTTTTTGCTCGACTTGTGCTTTTCGAGAGCATCGAGAAGCATAGAGAGCATTAGAAGAGCGAAAAATAAAGGAAGGAATATATTTTAAAATCCCTCCAAGGTGTCCGACATGTCAGGAATCAGGTTTTTGTGGTCTAGCCTATGGCCCAGGGAGGCATAGCCTTGTAAGCCAAGCGCGTATGTAATACGCGCGAAGCCTATCAGGCTTTCTGGGCCATAGGTTTAATGCATAAAAATCAATGATTCCTGATATATCGGACATCCTGTATTTTAACTTCATGTATTAATTATTATTATTAACTTGTATTTATTTATTACTATTTTTTTTTAGTCAGTTTCATGACATTATTATTACTAAGCAATTTCTAAATAAATGTCCCGTCGTTCCCTCAGCGCCCACCGGCACATACCTCGTCCTGGACACAGACTACGAGACCTTCTCGGCCGTGTATTCGTGCCAGGCCATCGGAGACCGGGCGCTCGAGTTCGCCTGGATCCTGTCGAGGGAGAAGACCATGTCGGACGAATTGTTGCATGCCGTCCTCGATATCTTCGCCGGGTTCGGGATCGACCTGGGGAGGTTCACGACGACGCACCAGGGGAGGGACTGCGTGTATCCCGAGTGAGTCCGTGTGAAGGGAGAAGGGATGCGACTTTTCAATAAATGCTTCTTTTATTTCGGATGCTATTGCTGCAGAGTGGACAGTAAGAAATCATGCCTTAGACACCTAATAAAGACCTTTTGTCTGATTTCGATCTACAGGGCATTTCATTTTTAGTTGTACATCTTTGAACGCTTATATCTCTGAGAGGATGGAACCAATCTTGATGAAAATTGACCACAATATGGAACGACTTTTTGCCCAAATATTCGACGGAGTTTTTAATCGCAGAGCCCTATATAATTTTGAAAAACAGATTCTACCAAAACCCCTGAAATCAAGATCTTATCAATTTGATGAAATATTTTAAAACTCATCATTCATTAGATTGTGCCTTGATCTAGTACCCCTGTAGCCAAAATCGGAGATGGTCGAGCTTTCCCGCTGGTCAATTTGGCGATGAATGACCTAAAATGCTCTAAGTGGTTTGTCGATTGATGTCTTACTAAGGTGATGCGATAAAAATCATGAAACTTCCAGTGAGTTTGACAAACGGATTGATACTGTCACGGTAAGAGGACAAAGTAAGTGACCCCACTTGGGATGATTAACCGCTGATCTGTACCTACAGCTTCCGCCACTAGATGTCAATAGTGAGCCCCGATGTCCATTGGTATTTGAAATACAGGAATTTCACATTCTAAGCATCATTTCAAGAGTAAAACTTCTGCAGTAGCACTAAATAAACCTAAGCTCAAAGAGAGACAAGTGGTTTTTTGACATTCCAGTTCCTCGCTAGGAGGGACTCGGGGCATGACGAACGATAGCCTCACGGTTGTTAGCAGACTGGTCCCCGCGAGGACATTCGGGAAGCGGGCATCGGACGTCAAAGATTCTTCCCTTCAGGAGACAGTTGTCTTGGACCTCCTCCTACATTGTAAGAGCTCGATATCCCCAGTGGTGCTTACCTGACTTGACCTCCTGTGTATTCCAGCATGGGCACACGGAGGCCTAAGAAGCAAACTATCAATACATACCGGAATGTAATTCACATCCCCGAAATGCGATGTTCAGTGTTCTCCACAACCGCGAGGCGATGGAGCTTCAAATTTGCTGGAGCGGTTTTGTGCTGAGATAGGAAGGAGCATGCCAAGTTTCGTTCCCGTTCATGCTTCTAGAGAGGAGTACGAGACGGTTGAATTTTGTCGCCGGAAGAGGTTGAAGAAGCCGTGAGACCGAAGACAAAATTCCTGCCCAAACAGTCGAGAATTTGCCGAAAACCTAATTTCCATGTGTGAAGAAGATGCAACTCTAATTGATTCCGTCGTTTGGAGCGAAAACTCGATTTTTATATTAAACGGGCACAATCGTATTTACTACGCGCAAGAACCCTCATGTCGTCATTGAACAGCATTTAAACTTCCCAGGAGGAACAGTTTGGGCAGGAATTTGGTCTAAGTGTGTCATTCTTCTTTCAAGGAACTTTCACTACATAAAGCTCTCTGGAGCTTCTCCAGACGAAGATTGCTCCAGTTATCGATGGAAAAAAAAAACAGATCGAGAAGTGATTTACTTCATGCAGGACGGAGCTCCACCTCCTTTTGGCCGGATTGTCCGCGATTTTTTTGGACGAAACATTCAAAGAAAAATGGATTGGTCGTCGAGGCCCAATCGAGTGGCCTTCACGTTCACCCGATTTCATTTTTGCGATTTTGTCTCATGGTGAATGGTAAAATATATCGTCTGCTCGGAATAATAAAAATTCCTTGAGGACTTGAAAACAGCAATCGATTGCTGTTTTCAAGTATCTTACATATGTATGTACCTTACATACAGGGTGGGCCAAAAGTTGTTGCCCCTGTATAATGTGAATATCTGCTGAACGGTTTGGGCTACAGAGTCGAAAAAAAACAGAAGGAAAGTTCATTTCATGCTCTTTCTGAAAATGTATGGTTTTTGGTTCCTACATTCATTTGGAGATGAGTCATGGCCGTTTGAAAAAACATGCCGAAAAAATAGGTACCAAAGCGCGACGCCTCCTTCTAAACTGCTCAGCTACAATACTTCTTGATTTAAAATTAAAAAATTGCTTTAACTAAACTTTTAATTATTGAGGAATGGTTCAATGTGTCCTCCACCATTTCGGACGACCGCCTCCATCCTCCTCCATTTTGATATCGACTTAGATATCCAAGACTGAGGGATCTATTCCGAGGCTTGAGGAATTCTGGTATTGAGGTCCTCAACATTCTGGATTCATGGGGTGGTCACCACAATAAACTTTCTCCTCCATAGCAGACCAAATAGTCAATGGGATTTAAGTCTGGACTGCAAGGTTGCCACTCACCAGGTGCAATGAAGTCAGGGCATTTCTCCTTCAGGTAGGCAACTGTCTCCCGAGCAGTATGTGATGGTGCGCCATCCTGTTGAAACACAAACTCTGGTGTTTCTTGGCTGATTTCTGATAACATTGGGTCCAAAATGTCTTGGCAGTAACTCTGTGCATTGATCTTCACTTCACGTGGAATGAAAATGACAGAGTTAAATGATGCCCCAAGTGAGACCATAACCGAATCTGAAAAATGTTTATGTTCTCTAAGGAGCCTTGCCGGGTCAATCTCATTTTTCCGATTCACAGTTGCATGCACACGCTCATTCTGGGTATTTCGAGGTGCTTGGACTGTGAATCTTTTCTCATCGATGAACCAGACGTTTTCCACTGATTTAGTTGACCGAAAACGCTTCAGGAGTTTTTTGCACAGATCAAAACGTTTCTTCTTTGTTGCGTCTGACAACTCCTCAACAGTCACTCGTTTAAAAACCTTCAGGTCGTTCTTGATTATGCGTCTCACAGAAGATCGAGAAATTCCAGTCCTTTTGACAACCTCACGCTGGCTGCAGCTGGTGCCTGGTCTGTTTTCCTGGTTCAGGATCTGATCTTCCACAGTGTCAATGTTTTCTGGCGTTCTTGCTCTTCTGGGACTGCCTCAAGAAGTATTGTAGCTGAGCAGTTTAGAAGGAGGCGTCGCGCTTTGGTACCTATTTTTTCGGCATGTTTTTTTCAAACGGCCATGACTCATCTCCAAATGAATGTAGGAACCTACAACCATACAATTTCAGAAAGAGCATGAAATGAACTTCCTTTTAGTTTTTTTTCCGACTCTGTAGCCCAAACCGTTCAGGAGATATTCACATTTTTATACAGGGGCAAAAACTTTTGGCCCACCCTGTATATTGGGTCGGGGGGGCAAACGACGTAAGTCCAGACGACGCAAGTCGGGGGATGGCTGTGTATGTAGTTCATTCACATCCGCAAACGTACCTGCACGCATGAAGCCTCCTCCATCCATCTAGCCGATTACTTAGAATGGCATAGGCCAAAAAGGCATGAAGCAAAGGCAGCATGATTCTCAGTCCGATAGGCCGAAAGGTCCTGGATGCCAGTATATCATGATTGGTGTAGGACTGGGCGTCTGTCCGAGGGTTAGATAGGGGCATGCTAAGCCCCGCAGGGTACGACCTACAATTTCGTGCCTCATCTGTTGTATGCAATATAGGAGCTATTTGTTTCCCCTCCCGCTTCCTTGAAGGAAGAAAGTGCATGAGGTTGATACTGGCCTAAACCTCCGGAACGAGTCCCCTCCCGGAAATGTGACCCTAGGACATTCACCCCCAAAGTCGAATTTTTTGGGTTCAGCAATCTAACAGTTGTTCGTATGCCAAGTTTCAGCCTCTCATCATTTCTAGAACATCGAATTAATGTCAGTCATTCAAGATCGTTTATATATATTAGATTCAATTTCCAACCCTCATTCCTCACAGATTTCACTAGAACATCATATCCTCATTTGTGAACATCATGCTCATCAGAATGAAATCAGTGACGACTTGTATTGCCTTTCTCCAGTGCCTCTCAAATGCTTTCTTGTAATGTCATATCCTTTGCAAACAATAAATGGCCATGTGTTAGATATATTTTAATATACCAAGGAGGACTGTATGTATTTGTTGGAAAGCCACTATAATGCTCTTCTGAGAGAGCACACCTACCTGCGAGGTAACCAAACGTTTTTATTTGGCATGTTATTGACAACCAAGGCTAATAATTAACTTATCGCCAACGTGGACTTTCAAGGGAAAATGGGTATTGGACGCGACATACGAACGTCGTACACGTCCAGGGTGAGTGTATGTGAGGAGTGCCTCGGCGTACCACCTATTCATTCCTCATTGGGCTCCATGGGCCTATTCGGATGAAAGATGTCATACTGGAACTCGACCTTCCCGTTAGAGGTTTTCTCTTTCCTACCCTAACTTACGTAAGCGCAGAATTACAGGGCAGTCGCGATATGGGGAGAAGTTTGTATGCACAATCGTTCCTTTCTATACTAGCTGTGCTTATGCCATTGTAATCCGGAATGGGAAGTAAAAATAAGCCGTCGAAAGATGTCGGATCAGAGCATCTCGTGCGTGTCCTTCTGCTCTCTCTTCGTCAGTTTCACTGTTCCTGGAAGCAGTCTGTGAAGCAGCATTTTGTGCCCGTCGTCATGCACGCATATTCACCGACTGGCACGCCAGAACTTCTCTCTTTCTCGCACGTTCAGTAGATCTCTCTGCCGAAAAGATCTAAGTTCCCTACCTTTTCCGTGGTATTTCGGAAAAGCCGAAATTGAGAATAATAATATCGGAACTCTAATTTAATGCTGCAAACTTACGTGAAGCACTGTCGTTAACGGGCGACGAGACTGGTCCCAAGCAGCATTTTCACGTAAACAAAATATCAATTTTTTGCAAACAATGTAAATTTCTTGCGATAGCCATGAAAATGACATCAAGTTTACATAAAACTTACGTTCCTATAATTACGCCACCCAAGTGTACGTGTGTTTTACATTAACTAGACGTCATACCAACTGACATGAAGTACATGATGTCAAGTTTATGAAAAATTAACACCACACCAGCCATATGGAACTTTAGCCGACCATCCAGCAGTTGCAGTACCAAGATTCCTCACATGATGGAACCCTTGTTCCCTGCATCCTTCAGTTACTATTAAGTACTAGTTTTCCTGATATAGTATCAGGTTTTTTTTTTACCATCCTTCTACATTTTATTATGCTATCAGTGAATATATATATGGAAAACATGAAATTTTATATATATATATATATATATATATTTATATTTATAATATATGACTCAGGGAATCATAAAATGCTGAAGTTGAGCTTTTTATTACAGCAGTGCACGAGATTATGGATGAGTAGAATCCCAGCCCCACAAGTACTACATCTTCTCTATCCTTAAGGTAAAAGAGCTCCTTTGAACATCTACTCCTTCTCCCGAAATTCCGGAACGGGAGGAGGAAGCAGTAAGTCACTTTGGCACTCTTGAGTACTGGTGAGGACGACTACTCGTGTACTCGCCCAACAACCACAGAGCTCTGAAGAACGTAAAGGAATAGGAGATTCAGTATATCAATTCTCTTCAATGGTACTGATGAACTCTTTAAATACGCATGAAAGTCAGGGGAAAATTCACATAAATCTTACGTAAAATGAATGTGAACATGCTGTTTGGAATGCAAACGGGAATGTCAATTTTACATAAAATTGACGTCAATTTTATATCGCCGTTTACGTTTCACAAAGGTGATATTTCTGCAAAAATGTTGACATTTTCTTGACAATGGTTTGCGTAAAAATGATAAAATATACAAAAAATTTACATTCATTTTACATAAAATTAACATAAACATGCTGTTCGGGGTAACGCGATTAACTATCCCAAATGATGATTGCCAGCAATTGCCATAGCCGAAAACTTCCGTAGCCGAAAATACATTGTACTCTCGTTGTCGGTTCTGAGCAAACGGCCCGGGAAGGCATTAAATGCAAAGCTTTTTTAACTGGCAAAATTAGGCTCCATAACGTCAAAATGGTAGGAATTTTATAACTTCGAACACAATA